CCCCCCCCCCCCCCCCCCCCCCCCTCTCTCTCTCTCGTTACTTTGCCCCAAAGGCAGTTCCATTTGTGCGGTACTATAAGGGAGTACAAGGGACTCCTGGAGAGGGCAGGGAGTGTCTTCCCCTACAGAGAAGAGAAAAGAAATCCCTGGTTCTGGAGAGGAACTGGCACATGGCTAGGGTTCACCCTCAGCCTGTGCATATGTAGACAAACACAGCAAAGGTTTTGAAACTGAACTGACCCTGGAACTACTGCCCCCAGTAAGACCTTGCAGTCTGAACCTAACCAGACTAACTGTCCGCTAAAGCAAACAAACAAAATCAACATTCAACAGAGGATGTCAACAGAACCTAGAATCTTGCAACATAATACTTAAAATCTAGGATACGTTCCAAAAATACTCAGTATACAAAAGAACCAGAAAAAAAATGTGACCCATTCCCAAAGGAAATGAAAACACACCCATTCTATGATGACTCAGATGTTGAAATTAGTAAATAAGGACTTTAAAATAGCTATTATAATATGCTCCACAAAGTAAACAAAAATACTCTTCAAACACGTGGAAAGATAGAGGTTCTCAACAGATAAATATAAGAGAGACAAAAGCATTGAAAAGGATTGAATGGAGAACACAGCATGATGTGCTGAGCTGTAAAATCACTACGTTGTATGCCTGAAACTAATGCAACACTGCGTAGCAACTATACCTCAAATAAAAGATAAATAAAATAAAAAATTTACCTAAAAATAAATAAAAATAAAAAGAGCACTTCCTATAAGAAACCTCTAATAAACTACTTTAAAGATGAAAAAATTGAACAGATATTCAGGGACCTATGGGACAGTGTCAAAATGTCTACTATTTGCATTATCCCAGGAAATTGGAAAGAGATCGGTATAGAAAAAAAAATATTTGAAGAAATAGTGGTCAAAAACTTCACAAATTTTGTGAAACACATTAATTTTCATATTGAAGATTAGAGAACAAGGATAAACTAAAAGAAAACCATGCCCAGACATATAAGCAAATTGCTGAAAACCAAAGATAAAGACAAATCCTGCAAGCAGGCACGGAAGAACATATCACATACAGGGGAACAACCATTCAAACGGCTACAGATTTCTCATCTAAAACCAGGAGGGTCAGAAGGCAGCGAGCAACATCTTTAGAGTGCTGAAAAGTCTAAAAAGAAACAGGTGTGCTTAAAATTACATTTCAGAACTTCTCCTAGATTCATTAAAGTCACAAAAGAACTTAAATTCGCTTAAAATCAGCCAGGCCATTGTACTTAAACTCTAGAATGCCATGTACCTGGATCTGGCAGCACCTACACAGTTAGGATGGTTATCAGGAATGACCCCCTTTCCCATGGGGGTGGGCAAAAATGGCAACCCACACTGCTCTACCAGTTTCCGGATACCCTCCTCTGCATGGGCATAAGCGGCACCTACAAGAAACGCAAACATATTTAGACAAGTCAGTTAAGTTCCAGGCACTGTAATTCTTAAAATGGTTCACACGAAATTCTGTTAGGACATCTCAAATAATCTCTTGTTTACACAGGTCTTACACTCAAAGCAAATGGTAATGACCAGTTTGTACCTTTGGTATTTTAAAATGTTTAAGAAGGTGACGGTTCTAACTTCCTTCCCCATGATATTCTCAATTATCCTAAAGGATGTCTACTATAAAAGTTGCATCTCACATCGCTTGCTGCTCTCAATTGCCTGTTCAACGCTTCCTACTAAATTACTACTCACAGTTGCCTGAATACAATATGTTTTACTGACAGGCCCCATTGGGCAACAAAGGACTTTGCCCTGACACGGAGAGGCTCTCACTAAACTCATGTGTTGCTCTCTACCATCAGCTAACTTGGACTGCACAGAGTCTCCTACTCTAGGCGTGGAAATCCTAACAAGAAACTTAAGTTTCTAAAGCTCTGTGGATCTCCTCATACTCTCTATGGTTCTGTGACTGCAACAAGACTAACCCAAGTGGTTCACATATCATTTGTTCCTATGCTCATGTGCCTGCAGAATAACCAGGCTCTAAGCCTGCAATGACACTGGAAACTCTTTGAATATAGAATGGTATCATTTCTAACGTCATTAAGGCCATTATAATTCTTTTTAGCTGTATAATTTTATATTCTTTTTCAGGACTAGTAGACCACTACCCCATATCTGAAGCTTGTAATTCTCTACTAAATCTCAGGAAATAGTATAGGGTACTATTCAGATTCAACACAGTGTCCCACCCACCAGCTCCATAAAATCTTTTCTCATACATGTCAGATGAAAAAGAGCTTTTTTTTTGTCCAGAAAATTTCCTTGTATTTTCTTTCTTGCCTCAATAACTTTGTCCACCCAGTTCTCTCTGACTGGACTTGTCCCCAGTGACCTATCATCCATGTTTTTCAAGTGAAGCAGTGTCATCTCTTCAAGATAGTCTTTCCCTTACTACCTACATAAGCAAATAGTTGCTGCTTCCCTTGAGAATCCCCCTCACCCTCTGTAGACACACCACTTTTGGGTACAAAGCACTTATTTGTTAGAGAATTATCTCTAGGTAGGGACCATTATTTCTCTGTATATCTCACAATTGTTTTCTATAGTCCCTGCCTTATCAAAAGTACTCATCAAATGTTGGTTAAATGAAGAATGAAAACTAGCATCTACTGAGTTCCTTCTACTTATCTTATTATTTAATTATAACAATCGTGTTGACATAGTTGGTATCTCAGTTTTACAGGTGAGGTAACTGAGACTCAAAGCAATTGTTTGCCAAGACCACCGAGCTAATACATCATGTAACTGCATTCAACTTAGCTCTAATTTCCATTTTTTTTCTGTTGTCCACCATTTTCAGTAAAGTTATTTTTAGTGTCAGGGCACACCTGGGTGGCTCGGTCAGTTGAAGGTCCGACTCTGGCTCAGGTCATGATCTCATAGGTAGTGGGTTCGAGTCCTGCATTGGGCTCTGTGCTGACTCTCAGAGCCTGGAGCCTGCTTCAGATTCTGTCTCTCTCTTTCTGCCCCTCCCCTGCTCATGCTTGGGGTCTTTCTTAAAAATAAATAATCATTAAAAAATGTTTTTGTAATTAAAAAAATAAGAATGTTCAAGCTAGAAAATGAAGGAATAAGAAAGCCTTTTATGAGTATGAAAAAATAAATTAAAAAAAATTGTTTTGAGTTTCTATTAGTTAGTTCCTCAGTAGTTGATACTGGCTAGCATGGTCATAGGTGATTCACAGCTCCCCAAGTTCTACAACATATAATGAGTACTATAACAAGTTGCTGACAGAAGTATAAATTGGTACAATACCTTGGGAGAAAGGAAGCTGACAAATATGTACCAAAAACCTTAAAGTATGAATTACCTTTTAACTTACTTTTCTTTCTGGGAATCTATCTTAAAGTCTAAACATGGAAAAAGCTTTAAGCATAAACATATATGTCACAACTATACTAAACAAACAAACAAAACTGGAAAAGCTTTAAGTATCTCCCGGTGAAGTATGAGGATATACACAAATAGACATTAAAATTATATTTAAAAAAATTTAAAACTATGAAGAAATGTTGTTATAATATTAAATGAAATAAACACAATATAAATAAAACAGTCTATATGGTGTAATCACAACATATAGACGATACATGCAAAAATGAATAGAAAAGTATTATGCGTTAAAGACAGTTGTCTTTGGATGAAGGAATCTATTCCTAATCTTCTGGGTTTTGCAAAATTTTGAATAATGATCACATACCCTTTTTATAGTGGAAAAAACCACAATTCATACGTAGGACTGAAGAAATAGAATGGGTGATATTCCCTTAAATGGGCAAGATTCCTGGGCATTCTAGAATAATTCTATGATTTCAAAATTAATAAATAATGCTAGATGAAAAGAACTCATACTCCAATTTCGAATATTAGATATGTTAATAAGTGATTAAGAGAATTTCTAAACAGAATCAGCATTCTTTTGACAGCCTGGCAAATTTAGAGTTGCATTCAATGCTACCTTTGCCGATGATAAGAAGGGGCTTCTTGGCATGTCTAATAACAGAGGCTGCGGCACACACAGCAGAGGGTTCTGCCATGCTAACAGGAGGGGGCAGGCAGCACTCCATGAACCTGGAAGGAAAGAGTTCTGTCAATTAAGAGAGGCCAAGTTTTAAACTTTTAATTGTGAAAATATCAAATACATAAAAACGTAGAAAAAAAAGCAGTACGATAAAATCCATATATCCACCAGGTAGATTCAACAACTTAGTATCATTTTATCACATTTGCTTCACACACGCACACAAATATGTACATAATTTTTTTCCCCAAACCATTTTAAAGTGAATTATACGCCATGGGGGAGGGCACTTGTTGGGATGAGCACTGGGTGTTATATGTAAACCAACTTGACAATAAACTATTAAAAAAAAAATGAATTATACGCAATTAAAAGCTTTTCCATGCAGCTCTAAAAGATAAAGACTTTCTCCTATATAACGGTAATGTCCCTATCACATCTAGTAAATTAAATTATTGCCTAATATCATCTAAAACCAATCTAGTGAGTAATTCATTGACAGGAAATTTGAGACAATAGTGTTACACTGTAGTAATAGTTGTTGTTATAATCATAGTAAAAAACATACTAAAAGCCAGTGTTTAATACTGTGTGTCATTTAATCTCATTTAATTTTCAAAACAATGAGGTTAGGCCTTTTATCTCCATATCACCAGTGGGTGAAAAACTCACAGTAATTTGCCCAGGGTCCCCAGATGGTATGTGGCAGAGACTGGACTGAACTAGGTCATTCTGTCTCCAAAGTCCATGCTTTTAACTACCTCACTATATTTCCATTCAATGGGAGAGTCGATATTAGTATACAACATGTATTAGCAAAAGAAATATTAAGTATAGTTAGCACAGAAATGTAAGTTATAGGGGTGCGTAGGCGGCTCTGTCGGTTAAGCGTCCGACTTCAGCTCAGGTCATGATCTCACAGTTCACGAGTTCGAGCCCTGCATTGGGTTCTGTGCTGACGGCTCGGAGCCTGGAGCCTGCTTCGGATTCTGTGTCTCCCTTTCTCTCTCTCTTCCCTTCCCCAGCTCATGTTCTCTCTCTCAAAATAAATACACATTAAAAAAATTTAAAAAAGAAATATAAATTATAGTTAAATATTTCTGGACACTGAGTCCTCAGTGTTTTCATTTATTTTAGTAAACTCATCTCTGCCTTCCCTCCTCTCAATAATATTTTATCATGTTTAGGTATTATGCAGAGGAGATGTCTTTTCTGTCTGACTCTCACCAGGGAATTGTATTTTCCTTGGTAGACTGAATAGACAGAAATGCACACTGCCTCTCTGTAGTCACTAGAGAACCACTGGGTCCACAACAGCAAGAACACACCAAATGGTACCAGGGTAATGCGTTAACCTAGGTATCCATCCTTATCAGAGGTGACTTAGATACCAGTAAAAAATGTTCTTATACTTTTTATTCACTCAGTGTTTATTTAAGGAAGAAGGGAACATGGCAAATCATAGTAACACCTGGGTTGGAATATTTTTAAATCACAGAGACAGAGGGAAAGACTAAAATTTTTTAGGCAGAGTCCTAAAGAATTATTCAACAGTCACCTTATTTCTTGGTTTACACTAAGAAGACTCTACATAATCCTTCCTACATTAATGGGGATGTATTATTTATAATTACTGGGAGAATAATTTCAGATAAGTGTTCAGGAAGCTCCATATATTTCACTTAATAATTAATGCCCCCCAAAATTACTAAGTAATACCATTTTGATTAAAAGAATTAAACCTTTAGGCCAGGATTTAGTTTAATTATTAAATTGTCAAAAGTTAAGAGAGATGAAGATTAATTTATAAACTGCTAGGTAAATTGTTAAAAAGTTAAGCATTATAATAATACAATTAAGAACGAACTCCAGTGTCACTATTACTTACTTTATAGAATTCACATTCGCCTGCAAGTTCACAAAATCTGCAGGTATATCAACATAACAGGCACCTGGACGACCATAAGTACTGCTTCTTACTGCCTAAATTTATTACAAATAAAAGGAAATATTTTAAAATTCTCATTACATAATTGAGTAACACAATTCACTCAAAGACAATTAAAAATTGTAAAGGGAATACAACTTTAATTTTTCTGGACATCCTTAGCTGGAGAAATAAACAATTTTAACTAAAATTGAAATGCCCTCAGTTGATTGTATATATTTTAAAAGTATTTATTTTTAGGGGTGACTGGGTGGATCAGTCCGTTAAGCATCTGACTTCAACTCAGGTCATGATCTTGCAGTTTGTTGAGTTCAAGCCTGGCGTCGGGCTCTGCGCTGACAGCTCAGAGCCTGGAGCCTGCTTCGGATCCTGTGCCTCCCTATCGCTCTCTGCCCCTCCCCTGCTCAACCTTTCTCTGTCTCTTAAAAGTAAATAAAACAGAATTATTTTAAAATAAATGTGCAAAGGGTCACCTGGGTGGCTCAGACAGGTAAGCGTCTGACTTTGGCTCAGGTCATGATCTCACAGCGTGTGAGTTTGAGCCCCATGTCGGGCTCTTTGCTGACAGCTAGGAGCCTGGAACTTGCTTCAGATTCTGTGTCTCCCCCTCTCTCTGCCCATCCCATGCTCATGCTCTGTCTCTCTTGTCTCTCAATAATAAACAAACATAGAAAATACACTTTTTAAGTATTCTTTTTAAAGGGGAGAGATAGGAAAGAAAATACTCGCTAAGGGTTTTAAAATTCATGATGTAGCACACGTTAGTCTTAGAAATTACCCACCAAGCTCTCTGCCTGTCAAGTCTTCATAACGTGTACTTTTACCTGCTTTCTAATACTAACGACTTGGCCAAGGTTTGAGAAACTATGATGCTTTAATATGTGTCACATGGTTCCTATAACACATGGTATTGAAACAGCTTAAACATAACTCCACATACCAATGTTGGTTAACTAAAATTAATTTATTCTATGCTGTTTAGTCAACTAAGACACAGTTTTATATGCATTAGTACTAATTTTCAAAAATAATATTTTGCAAAAGCATGACAAAAAGGGAACTAGGGTTTCCTTTTAGCTTTCTTTTTACTTTTCTGTAATTTAAAAAATAATTTAAAAAGCTGAATGAGAAACTTTTTTCAAAAATAATTTATTTGATCTGTTTCTATAATTAAAGGACAGCAAACAGCAAAAACGTACATCGCTCTTTAACAATATCATTTTTGAAAGCCTGAATATATACCAAATTGTTGCTCATTTTATTGAAAATAAAAATAACACAGGTATGAGCAAATGAGAAAAACCAATTGACTTGGAGGACCTATAATTAAATACTTTACCTTCTCGATAATAGAGGGAATAGTCTCTATGTTGCTTGGCCGGGCAGAGAACTTGCTATATAATCTACAAGCTTCAACCTATATGCAGAAAAAAAAGAATCTCTTAAAATTCAGCTCATAAATCATATTACTCTTCTGAAGAAAGACAAAATGTTAACTCATTACTTCCTATTAAGTTTAGAGAAAAGATGAAGAAAATATATTACTTCAGCTGTTTCTGAAAAGCCTATGAAATGTAAAGCACAATCAAACTTATGCCTCAGTAATAAAAAACAAGACACCATTTTCATTTCTCAGACTAGCAAAAAAGAGTTTAATAATACTCAGTGTCTACCTCCACACAGGAAAACAAGCACTCTCCTAAGCTGCTGGTGAGAGTGTAAATGCATCAGTATCTTTTAAATAACTATTGTCATTCTTTGCCATTAACTAAGTAAAACTTCAATTTCCTTTCAAGAGGATAAAAATATAAAGTTTGCATCAAACTATACCAAGATCTAATATTTTACAATAATTTAAATCATATTAAAATTCTGTGTTATATTTTGAATTTCGCACAATGACTTTGATTAATGAGTTAGACTCTGCCTAATGGTTTTAACTTTGGCCATAACTTTGTGCTGCAAATGGGTAAATATATTCTTATCTTAAAATTAATCATTCACTCTCACCTATTTATTTCTACAATGATTCTTAAACCTGTAGTGTTTTGTTTTATGCAAGTATTTATGAACACCTCTCTTGTATCTCTGATAAATGTATAAAAAGCAAAAAAGAAATCCCACTATAGCATCTTTTTTTTTTTTTTTAACATTTTATTTATTTTTGAGAGAGAGATAGAGACAGCATGAGCAGGGGAGGGTCAGAGAGAGAGGGAGACACAGAATCCAAAACAGGCTCCAGGCTCTGAGCTAGCTGTCAGCACAGAGCCTGATGCGAGGCTCGAACCCACAAACCATTGAGATCATGACCTGAGCCGAAGTCGGACACTTAACCGAGCCACCCAGGCGCCCCTCACTATAGCATCTTGTTGACAAATTCTTTTAAGTTTTTAGAAATTTTTAAATACTTTCCTTCCTTCAGCTTTCTAAGATAAAAATGAATTTGTCCAGAATCTACCGACAGTCATTTTATTTTTAAGGAGAGTCATTTTAAGTAGGGTTTTTCCCTCTCAACTTTTTACTTCTCTAAAGTTTGAGAGGCATTGTCCTACACCATTTTTATTCCTGCATCTTTAAGACTTATTTTCAGAGTTTAAAAGCCTGTTAAAAAGATGTATTTCTTGGGATGCCTGGGTGGCTCAGTGAGTTAAGCATCCGACTTCAGCTCAGGCCATCATCTCGCAGTTCCTGAATTTGAGCCCCGTGTATTAGACTCTTTACTGACAGCTCAGAGCCTGGAGCCTGCTTCAGATTCTGTGTCTCCTTTTCTCTCTGCCTCTCCCCATCTGCGCCCTGTTTCTCTCTCAAAAATAAGCATTAAAAAAAAAAAAAAAGGATGTATTTCTTGGAAGACTGCTCCTAAGCAGGCAGAACCTAAGTTTCTTAAATATCCACATTGAGATTGTCTTGCAGTTAAGGAAAATAACTTCTAAATTATCTCAGGTAGGTCTATTTTATTGTCATGTTTATTTTACAGATTGTTTTAATTTCTTCTCCTTAAATCTTTCATTTTTCTCCTTAAATCTTAATGGCATACATTTATGCTACTAAACTCTGTAACAACAATTTTAGAGTTGGGTACCTGAGGAAACTCCTGGAAGGCTCCCATAGTTTCCTGACTTCTTTCAGAAGAACCGCCAATCACAATCAAGGGCCTGAAATATTCGTTGTTTTAAAAGAGAATTACAAATGAGATAAAAAGTAAAATAGGAAAGTGCCCAATTAATAAACAGCAATGTACATTGAGAGAGAAAATTTCAACAAACTAAAGATTTAGGAAGGAGGCAACCTGATATGAGAGAATTTCTTTAATTTCTTAATTTCAGAAAAACCTGAAATCTATAGGAATTGCTTTTACTCCATGTCTCCCTCTTCCCAAGCCATTCTGGATGCTGATGCCAAACCTCTAGGTATGGTAATGTAAAATAAATTTTTATTCCCTTCCCATTATTAGTCTTGGGATTAAGAGAAGGAAACAATTTTTTTTCACACTTTCCTAAGTGAGTCTATTTGGAAACGATGGAGTGAGAGAAATTCCACACCAATAAATTTCTTATCCTTCAAGGAGGAGAAAAGTTACAGCAAACTTAAAGTTATCAAAAAAAACCCCAGACCCTGAAGAAGGTAAAGAAAGAGAAAGACTAGGAAGGGAGAAAGGAAAGAAGGCATATGTCAAAAAAGTGAACAATGCCCTCCTCCTAGGACATTAATCTAAAATAATCTTCTCTCATATTCATTTTCTAGGAATATTCATTTTCTAGGAATATGAGAGAAGATTAAATACTTTATAAATTGACTAGAACATAACCCTCTCTAACATGATCTTACTGGTTAAAGCATGGACTTTTGGTCTTCTTTAGTAACAGATTCATTTAAAACCATTTCCTCAAGAATTCCAAGTACTGTAGATTTTTGATCTTTAGAGTTTTGTTGGGATTCCCTTATGGCCTCCATATGGTTAGTTTTTACTTTTAAACTATATAAGAAGAAAGGAGAGAAGGCATAAAGAAAATGGACAACATCCTTCCTACCAGGACACTGGTCTAAATAATACCTAAATATTTACTCTTCCTTCATTCTAGGATGATACTTCTTAGTATGAAGGAAGAGTAAATATTTTATGAATTGACTAGAACATAACTCCCTTTAACATGACCTTATTGGCTAACCCCAAAGATGGGGTTAAGGGCAAGGTCAAAGAGTAAGTACTAAAGGGCTTATAAAGCAAACTAAAAAAAAATGTAAGAATTTCAATTGTCTTGCTAGTTATGCAAAACAGGATCAAGAATTGGATACATTTGTACATACTGGCTGGGGTGTTTTAAAAATAATTCTGCACTTAAAGAGAACTGTACACACATTCACATATAAAGAGAGACACATACACACAGACACAGACACACACACACTCCAAAATGTGTGTGTGTGTGTGTTTAAGGTTTATACACAGTATATAGTTTTAATGAGTTAGCACAAGTCTATTCCCACAAGCTTCTACACATAAGTTTACATTTCAGAGGATGTTATATGAATGACATATTATACACTGTCTAGTTTCTATGAAATAAATCATATGCTTCTACATATGTGTTCAGAAACACTTATATATATATATATATATATATTTAAAGTAGGCTGCATGCCCAATGTAGGGCTTGAACTTATGACCCTGAGATTGAGTTCCATGCTTTACAAACTGAACCAGCCAGGTGTCCCTAGAAACACTTATGTCTTAATGAAAGAAGATGTTACTTGAAAGAGAGTTTACACACAGGGCAGACTTAATGAGTTAAGTATACATGTATTCCCACATGCTTCTACACATAAGTTTTCCAAAAACTCAAAAATGTTGTGTTTGCCTCTAAGTAAGATTACTGATTTTTGTTGTTGTTGTTGTTCTTCCTAATACTATTCTTAGTTTAGTTTTTTACCAAGCCATTCCCTCAAGCACTTGATTCCAGATCTTCTCACTCCAGATCTGGTTGCTCCACTAGGTAAAATCACACATCAGCATTTAAGGAAGTGTTTTCAGTAATAACAATTTAATTACCAACAGTTCATGTTTGCATTTGCCATACCACCCAACGCGTGGATGAGACCTGGGCCAGAAACAACAAGGCATACGCCTGGCCTAGAAACAAAACAGAATTTCTTTTATTAAATGCAGGTCAAGTGTAACGGGTGATTAATATCACTTTAGGGGGAAAGATGGCAATTTTCTTGGACTTCAAAGGAAGGACATACAGGTCTTTACTACAATTGGTAAAGCAATTATTAGAATATTTTGGGAATTATAAAAGAAACAAAAGAAAGATTGTATCAGTCTTCCTGCAAGAAAGAAGAGACCTATCATCTTCACACTGTATTTAACTAACCTCTTCACATTTTGAAGAGGTTATATTTGGGCCCAATCGATTTAACTGCAAATTTTTGATGCTGAGTACATTTTTATGTGGAAAAAGGTCTTTAAAAATTTTAATAGAGAAATATGTCAATTGATATCTGACCGAAAGTAATTCTGAAATGGAATGATCTGCCTCAAACTTTTTAAAAATTTAATTTGAATGCTTTACCTTAAATGTGACTTTCTAACTTCAAAACACTCAAGGAAAAAGTATCTCCCAATAATTCAGTTTGCCATTTTATATTTATAAAGTGATTTTTAAAAAAAATTTTTTTTTCAATGTTTATTTATTTTGGGGGCGGGGGAGAGGCAGAGAGAAGACACAGAATCTGAAGCAGGCTCTGGGCTCTGTCAGCACAGACCCTGACTCAGGGCTTGAACCCACAAAGTGTGAGTGCATGACCTGAGCCGAAGTCGGATGCTTAAGCTACTGAGCCACACAGGTGCCCCTAAAGTAATTCCTTAAGAAACTCTAGGACCACTTTTAAAAGAAATTGAAATAAAACATAGACTTGAGTTTACCTGCCTGTCAGATATCCAATCGCAGAGGCAGCGTAACAAGCCTACAAAGAAAAAATACTGGGACTTAAGCATATTTGGATCCTTACAGTTAAGTACATGTATATACACTTATGATTAAATAAAAACTAGAACTGGGTGGTAAAGGAGGAACTGGAACACTTTCAGTTTTAACAAGTAATGTTCTACCTGTAAGTGTCAAGTAATGGTTTAGATATCTAATCTAGGTCTTAGTGTTTCAAGGAATTTATCTGTATCATCTAGTTTATCAATAATATACTCTTAATAATATCTGCAGGATCAACAAAAATGCTCTCTATCTTATCCCTAATATTAGGAATTTGTGTTTTCTCTCTTTTACTCTTCATCAGTCTTACTAGAGGATTTATCAAATTTATTAATCTTTTCAAAGAACCAATTTTTGGCTTTGTTGATTCCATTGTTAATATGTTTTCTATTTCACTGATTCCTGCTCTTGTATTTATTATTTTACTTCTTTAATTTTGGGTTGAATTCAGTTTTCTTCTTCTAGCTTCTTAAAATATAAGCTTAAAGCACGGATTTTTAAATCTTTTTTAGTAATAGATTTACTTAAAGCCATTTCCTCTAAGAACTGCTTTAGCTCTACTTTACAAGTTTGAAATCTCATCTTTTATCATTCAATTCAAAATATTTCCTATTTTCTACTGTGATTTCTTCCACAATCCATTGGCTAATTAGGGTTCATAGTGATGTGTCCTTTTTCATTCCTGCTATTAGTAATTTGTATTTTCTCTTTCATTTTTGACCAGTCTGCCCTAAAGATTTTTAGATTTTAACAATCTTTTAAAATTTTTACAAACTATCAAATGTGTTATTTCACTTTCAAGTCTGGGGATTTTCTAGTTACCTTTCTGTTACTAAATTTATTTCCACGTGGTCGGGTTACATATACTATATGTCTTCAATCTTCAGAGCTTTCTTGAGATTCCCTTTATGGCTCCATATGGTTAGTTTTTACTTTTATTTTTTTATGTTTATTTTTGAGAGAGAGAAAGAAAGGAGGAGGGAGTGGGGGAGGGGCAGAGAAAGAGGGGAACAAAGTATCCAAACCTTGGACTCTTGAACCCTGAGATCACAAGGTGAGCGGAAGCTGAATGCTTAACCAAGTGAGCCACCCAGGTGCCCCAGTTAGTTTTTACTTTTAAACTACACTTCAGCTGCACAGGAAAAAGGGGGACGTACTAAATTAAATACAGATAACCTCAAAAACTGCTAAATGCACTCTCAAATAAATCCTTTTTCTTAATCTGGGACATCTTTTTCTAGTATTATTTCTTCTCACTTAAAAAAATAATAAAAAGATATTTTCTAACGTCCACTCAACTTTATGCGTATTAGACTGAACTTAAATACATGTTTAGGACATAAGGGTAAAACAATTAAAAATAAATATTTATGAATCATAATCTTAACTTACACCACTACCATACGCCCAAGTAAGAAAGCACACAAAGGCTCTGTGCCATCTGTGTTACTATTCTCCATGGGCCCTTATAGCTTTTCCCTTTTGCACATAAGGTAAAATTCACATGGGGTAATAATAAGACAACTCCAAAAAATGTGAGTGCTGAAAATATAATGTCTGTTGCAATACGAATACTTATTTGGACAAGGAAGAACACTGTCCACTTACTAAAGCAGGGCACAGACTACTGCGACAGAATGCAAAATACAAAACAGCATGTACCAAAAATTATATCCCTCTGGTAGCAAATGTCAAAAGTTGAAAAGGAGCTCTTTTGATGATCATAAAACATGTATTTCTCTACCAAATTACCTCCACTCACAAGCAGAAAGCTGTGTGTGTAGTACTTTAGAGCAGACTCTAGAGCTGAATTGTTTTGATTCAAATCTTGCCTCCCCTGCTTTCTGCTCTGTAACTTTGGTAAGTTACTCTGTACCCTGGCTTCCTTATCTGTGAAATGAACATACCTGACAGCACTGCTAGGAGAATGAAATCAGTTAACACATGGAAAACACTCAGAATACTGCCCACACGCAGTTCGTTCTCAGTGACTGTTACATTCCTAACAGTGTGCCTCTTCCTTGGAAAGCTGGTCAGTGTAGGTCTCGATTTCTCTGAGGATCTGATGAAAGACAATCAAGTCACAACCGTCCACAACCAACTACGCCTTTCTGTTTAGAACAAACATGTAATTGGACGCCAAGTCCTCTTCTGCCTCTTGAATGGCTTCTGAGTCTGATCTCACTTTCTCCTTTCATCACCCTGTCATTAAGCTGAATTCAGGCACTAGTTAAGTCTTCCTGGGGCACCTGGGTGGCTCAGTTGGTTAAGCATCTGACTTCGGCTCAGGTCATGATCTCACGGTTCATGGGTTCGAACCCCACGTTGGGCTGTGTGCTGACAGCTCAGAGCCTAGAGCCTGGAGCCTGCTTTGGATTCTGTATCTCCCTCTCTCTCTCTGACCCTCCCCTGTTCATGCTGTCTCTCTCTCTCAGAAATCAATAAAACATTAAAAAAAAGAAATAAAAAAAAAAAGTCTTCCTGAGTTCTGTGCTGCAGACTCAGGTTAACTGAGGGTACTATGTACTGGGAATGTCCTACAAGCATCGCACACTCATCAAATTTGAATTTATTATCTTTTCCCTCCAAATTGGCTCTTCCACCTGTATTCCCGACCTGAGTCAGTGGTGCTGTGCATCCCCGCCCCCCCAGTCAGTTAAGCAAGCCCACATCTAAGAATCGTCTCCAGAAGAGCCTTTCTTCTCCTTCCTAGCTGGTTAATGCCGACTCATCCATCAAGTCCCTCAAGACAGCTCAGGGATCGTCTCCTCCAGAAAACCTCTGAAGCTTCAGGCTGAGCTAAGTACCCTTTTCTGCCCTTCCATAGCACCGGAATAGATCTCTATCACAGCACTTACCACATTATAATAAAATTGTCTGTTTATGTCTGTCTCTACAGCCAGGTTATAAGCTCCTCAAGTACAAGCGAAGTATGTACTCCACATTCTATATGCCCAATAAAGCACCTGGAACCTTCAGAGGCCCTCCACTGAGATTATCGGGACCAAAATAAAACTTCAAGTTGCCCTGCTGATCCATACTCTGCACTACCGTGATTTCTAATTACACAAGTCTAATTATGTCTTCCACCCATTTAGAAAAACCTTTAAGGTCTCATTCAATGCCTACTAAAAAAGTCCACATTCCTTTTCCAGCCACAGACTTTCTATAACCTCCCCTTGGTCTACCTATTCAGTCTCACAGCTCACTGTGCCTTTAAGCTATTTTGATGGAACAGCATGAACAAACATTGCCTTTATGGGTAATCTTCTCTGTCCCACTCAGAACCAGTCATCCTTTATATGTACCATTCCTTTATGTGTATGTGTGTATATATATATATACATATGTATATATTTGTGTATATATATATACATATGTATATATTTATAAATATATATATATTTAATGTTTATTTTTGAGAAAGAGAGAGTACGAGTGGGGAAAGGGCAAAGAGAGAGGGAGACACAGAATACGAAGCAGGCTTCAGGCTCTGAGTTGTCAGCATAGAGCCCGATGCTGGGCTCAAACCCAAGAACTATGAGATCATGACCTGAGCTGAATTTGGATGCTCAACCAACTGAGCCACCCAGGTGCCTCTATATGCACCATTCCTTATAAGTACATTTTTTTGTTTTACTTATTTATTTTTGAGACACAGAGAGAGTGAGCTACCTCATGCATGCACAAGAGCAGGAGAGGGGTAGAGAGAGGGAGAGAAAATCCCAAGCAGATTTTGCCCTGTTAGCCCAGAGTCCAACATGGGGCTCGATCTCATGAATCATGAGATCATGACCTAAGTCAAAATCAAGAACAGGATACTTAACTGACAGAACCACCCAGGTGCCCCTTATACATACATTTATAATTATACTATTAGAATTACTTCACCTTCCCAAACTGTCACATTATAATAAATTCAGCTTAAAGATCAATACTAAACCTGATTCCTGAAAGAAATATTGAAATCTATCCCTCTAGATTTGAGCTTGCTTGACTGACTAGGTGAATCAGAGTGCCACTGACTCAAATAATGAATACAGAGGGAAGAGCCCATCTGGAGGGAAAAGGCAATGAATTCAAAACCAGACATGGGTTTCAGATACCTGTAAGACATTCCTGGTACCTATTTCCTTCAAGCATGTGACTCTTTCCAATAGTCAGAGGAAGACTTAAACACTAGTACCTGGTTATGTACTCAGTAAATATGTGGTGTCTGAAGAAGAAACCAGACATTCCACCTTCATAAAAACAGTAAAATATAAGATATATTTCATATATATAAATAACTTATATTTTACCTCATATTTTATTTACTGACTTATTAATAGGTCAATAGCTTTATCTTCTCATATAGACGACAGAATAGAATATTGTTCCAAGAAGATATAGAAATGATACAAACTCAAGACCTGATTTAAGATTTGTAAAAAACCATACTCCTCAAATCTTATACTTAAGGATTGTCATTCAATTAATAAATAATGTGGTAAGAGTTTACATCACGCAAAAGCGCCAACCAAGCCAGGCACTACGGGGATGTAACAAATGAACCACAATTCCTGCCCTCTAGGAGCCGACATCTAATGGCAGAGAAAGGGTACCACTTAAGAAGGTCAAGGCAGCTGTTTGGGCAACAGATTATATGAGCCTGAATTAGAGAGCAACAGTGAGAGTGCAGAGCAGGAATACTTAGCTTTAGACAGACTGACAGGATATAATACTGCAGAAGTAGTTTCTTGATTTTTTAAACCAGCACACAGTAAGTGCTGAGACTGGGTTGACAAAATGTCTTATCTTCCTTTCTTTTGCTTCCAAATAAGCCATGATGTGGTGGAAGGAGGACTGGACTGGGATTTAGGACACCGGAGTTCTAATCATGGTTTTACCATTTGCAATACTATCTCCTTGCAGGGCCATCTACTATATAACATGAGATTTGGCCTTCACCCGTTCTTCTCGGAGGAACCGCCTGAGCACCTACCGTCTGCTAGCCACTGGGGATACAGATGTGTCAAGAAGAAATAATATCCCTCCTCCCCTGGATCTCACAGTCTAAAAGGAAAGTCAGACCAGACAGAAAGAGACACATCATAACAGGTAGTTATGAGAGGACATAGGGACTGGATTCAGACCGGGACAGCGTCCCTTTCGATTCCAACCCTCTAGACTTGGCAGAGGACAATCCAGTGCAGTGTCAAGAGCATGGACTCCAGACCCCAGAATACCTGGGTTCAAATCCTGTCTTCTGACACTACCGACTGTCACTTCGGGCAAATTACTTAACCTCTCTGCGTCAACTAGGATTAATAACAGTTCTTGCTTTATAGGATTATTGCGACTAGATGGCGTGAAGAACTGTGGTAAGGGCTGAGTGTGTGCGATGAATGTATGCCGCTGTTATGACTCATTCCCAATAACGCTTTCGGCCCTCATTGTCCATACTCACCGCTTGCTCATTCCTCATCCCGACATATCTGATGCCCATCTTCTGGGCCGCAATGGCGATTTCGGTCACTGGGATACCCACGATGCCAAACATGTACTCCACATGCTGAGGGTCAAGAACAGGGGAGTAAATGCCCAGGCCCCCGCCACACCGTTCCCTCCAGGGGCGCTAAAAGGAAAGCCTCAAGGAAAACCTCCCCCCTCCCACCGCACCGCTCTCCTCGTCTCCAAGACAACGTCTCCGCCCCCCTCCGGCTTCCGTAGGAGCCCTTCGATGTGGAGTCCGCCCTACTTGCGTTTTCAGGGCCTGTGCGATGACTTCAGCACCAGAAACCTGCTCCTCGTCTACGTCGCTACGCGCAACTAGGTTACTCTCCGACATGTTTCACCTACAAGTTCGAGATACTCTCGCAGCCAACAGCAAGCTGACACGCAGACGCCCTGCTAAGTAAAGTCGGAGGGAACAGCCGCGCGCCAGTTGTGGAACCCGTTCCTCTGACTGACAGGAGTAAGGCAACCAACCGCTGTGGCTAGCGGGAAGGAAAAGGCGGGGCTTAAATCAGTCGGCTCGCTGGGTGAGTTGAGAATGTAAACACGCTCTTTCTCCTATCAGAGCCGTGCTCTTTTCTCACGTCCTCCATTCGCGGGGCCAGAGTGCCAGAAGGAGGCGGGACTAGCAGGAGGCTGCGTCCTATGCCAAGCAGGTGAGACACGGAACCTCTGAGGCTTCTCGCCCCTGAGTGACTGCTATCCCGAGGCATTTGGGGGTCCGCGGAGGCGAGTGGAGCACGCGCAGAGTGGGGGCGGAAGGAGGGCTAGGAGCGCACGTGGAAGGGGGCGTGGCGCGCGCTCTCGCCTCCAACCCCCCGGGCGCTTTAAGGGCTTAGGGCAGGCTTCGCAAAGGCTGCTGGGACCGGGGTGGGCGGGGTGGAGCCTACCATTGTGCGAAGTTGGGTTAGGGTCGTGTCGTGTTTTTGCGTCCACTGTGTTCTAGGCTTTTACTACACGCTTTTTGGTTTACACACTCTTTTGTAACTCTGAAGAAGTTTCACAGCTATGCAGTTCGTGAAACATAGTCATCAATGCACGTTAGTTAAATCCATTGACGGGTTTACTGTTTACCCCATATAGATGAGGACCCCGAATTTCCAACCAAGAGAAAGTAATTTTGCCAGAGCCGCTGGACCCACGCTATTCCTCAGAATCCCCAACTTGTACTCTACTCACTGTTTAGCCCCTCGAACCTAGTTAAATTTGACCATTGTTTTCTCTAACCTTTGCTACCAGCCCACTCTTCCTCTCTACTCTCCATTCTTGTCTTTCCAAAATCAGGAAATGTGGGTTTTCATGATTTTTAGATTTAGTCCCTGTCTACCACCATTCCCTGTAGCTTGGTAACCTTTTAAAACGCATTTTTGAGCGAAAAAGATGTTTGTAGTGTGATTTCTGAGAGTCTGTCCAGGTTTTGAAACTACCAGTTGAGTAACAAAACCTACATAACAAGGAGTGGAACTTTAAATTTTTGAGGATTTGGAGTGTTTCAAAGCAAAAAGACAAGTAATATGCGGAAGGTAGAGAGAGGAGAGGGGAGTGGGCCATGGGTAGAGGAATGAATGAAAAGCATTGGAAGTGAAAGGATTTCTAAATCCAGAGATCTTCCAACCGTAGTGCTGGCCTTCCAAAAGACCTTCTTTTTTTGGCGGTTCAAACCCTAACCTCCGACTCTAAACGGAAAGGAGTGAAATAGTTGCCTTCCTGGATACGGGGACTACGCCTAAGGTATTTCTTTTATGTCTCAGAGTTCCTCTAAAATATAAATGCAGATTTTGCATTTCCACACCAAAATGTATCCATATTCTAAGTATTATCTTTTTATGAGGTAAATTAAACATGCAATTAAGGGTTCATAAATAAGTTTTGACAATTGTATATACCTATGTAATCACCACCCTAAATAAAAAATGACATTTTAAACTTACCGGTCAAGTGAAATTGATGTTTCAGAAGGATGCAAAATATTCTTTGTGTGGCTTTGAGCAGTCCTGTTCTTTGTCATCCTGTCTCTGAGAAGCATGGACCCCACCCTCCTCTATCAGGTAGTATTTTTTATGTCAATATCCATGTGACAGTCTGTACTACCATTGTATCAAAATCACTTGGAAAGCTTTTTAAAAATACAGTTGCTTAGGCCCCAGGCCACATCTTCTGAATCAGTGAGTTACGACAAGTTAGGTACCTATATTTTTTTTTAAAGCTGTTACCTAATTTTGGTTTGCAGCCTGACTTGGGAACCGCTAGCTCTGTACTCATGGTAGAGGCATCAGTTAACAATGAAAAGTGTGATTACCTGTTAACCAAAGTAATACTGTTGATTTGTTTGGATTTACAGGTTTAAGGCCACTAGTTTGACATTGGCAGCACAGACTGTAGATGGTTAGTCCATTCCTGGGACCTTGTGCCTACTTCTGTGTCAAAAGGATCACGGACAAAATCACTCCACATAAAGTGTGGTGAAAACTGTGCTATGAATTGTGACCAGTCCCCTGAGTTTAGATTAACTGGTTTTGCAAAAAGAATAAATTGTCAACAGACTGGATTCTGTCCTTTAGCAAGGGGAAAAGTCATTGAGACTATTTAAACTTGCTTTCACCTTTGTATCTTTGGTTCAGGGTGCAATGTTCCACTGTGTACTTGGTGTGATGATTCAGCAGAGGTGATGACAGTCCTTGTCCCCAGGATTAGCAGGTGCTGAGAGCAACTCCTTTCAGTCCAGTTGAGATTACAGGACTCTGCTGTGATTTCTCCAGGGCCCTTCATGCAGACCTAGTAAGCATTAGCCACATTCTTTATTACTTTGATTGGTGGTAGACATGGAATTTTATTTGTTAGATGTTTTATTGGAATTTTTTGTTTGATTTTGTTTCTTTATCCATGGAAGGAGATCAAAGGGAAGAATAAGCCTGAGGGTTTTTTTGGTTTTGTTTTTATTTATTTATTTATTTTAAGAAAAGGCTAACATGATAATATGCTTTCTAAAGCACAGAGCTCTAATGACTGAGTGGCTCAGTTGGTTAAGCATCCAGCTCTTGATCTCAGCTCAGGTCTTGATCTCGTGGTCATCAGTTCAAGCTCCACATTGGGCTCTGTGCTGGGTGTGAAGCCTACTTAATAAAATAAATAAATAGTAAAACAAACAAAGAAACAAAAGAGCAAAGCTGGTCATCAGAGTTTCTCTATACCCAATACTCTTATCTGATATTATGAGAGTTATTTGGTGGCTTTCTTCCGTCTGGGTGAAGAGAATATCCAGGCAGCCAGGTAACTTAGTAAGAGTTGCAAATATAGTGCCTAGAGAAAATATATTCCCTAAAGATTTAAAACAGGCAGCTTCTAAAGTAATAATAACTCCTCAGGTTTCCAAATTATGATAGTATGTTTTAATTTCAGTAAACTAACAAAGACACTAAAAATCCTTGTGATTATTTAAAAAGCGAAACACCAGCTGAACTTGTAAGAAATTACTTCACAAATCTATTTTATCAAGAGGTGAAGTGTTTAGTTATCAAATGAAGAAATGAATTAAGGTTATTTGTGATATAGAATGGCTGAAAAGAAAATTGGCTGAAATAAAAGAAAACTGAAATTATGTACCTTAAAAACGAACAGAAAGCAAGCAACAATAACCAAAAAAGGATATCTATGTAGAATATTCTTTTTAAAACCAACATTCAAAACCGTACAGCAGGAAACGTGCTATAAAAAATATGTGAACATACACAGAGCAGAAAATACAATATAAAGTAAAATGGTTCTTTGAATAAAGTAAGTTAAATTGATTTTGTTTGCTTCTCATTAAATTGATGGACTGCAAATTACCAAAGCTCAGAAATAGGCTTGAAGCAAAACCAGTGAAAAGCAGTTTTATTATTAAGGCGCCTGGCACAGATGTTAATGCCTTATTGTTTTGTTTTGCTTGTAATCTGTTCCCGGGGTGAGCGAAACAAGGAATCCACTCTGGGGCAGACTCTTTGAATGATTCCCAGGGTTCCAAACAGAACTGCTGGGGTGTAATCTTTTTATTAAGAGTTTAGTCCCTTGAACCTCCTTCTGTATCATAACCTTTGAGTTCCTCTTCGTAGCTTACCTGTGATGTATTGTTTTATTCACTTAAAAATTTATTTATATTTAACATTTATAGCATCTTTCAAACCCAGTTATGTTGATTCATAACACATGTACCCAGCCCCTAGCTCAAGAAATTCATTAAAAATACAGTGAAGCTCCCTGTGGATCCCTCCCCTCAATGCATTTTCCATGCCTGATGCCATAGAGGTAACCACTATCTTGAATTCTGTGTTTATAATTCCCACATTATCCATTCTTTAAAAAAATTTTTTTAATGTTTTTATTTATTTTTGAGACAGAGACAGATGATGAGCCAGGGGAGGGGCAGAGAGAGAGGGAGACACAGAATCTGAAGCAGGCTCCAGGCTCTGAGCTGTCAGCACAGAGTCCACACGGGACTCAGACTCAGAAACTGTGAGATCATGACCTGAGCCGAAGTGAAACACAAACATTTAACTGACTGAGCCACCTAGGTGCGCCTCACATTATCCATTCTTTACGGGATGGACATTTAGGTTTATCTTTACCTTTTCAGTGTTATAAACAAATTTCTCTAAGCATTCTTGCATGTCCCCTTGTGCACCTGTGTGAGTTTTTACGTATATGTGGCTAGGGGTGGGTCATGTCATTTTTACTAGATATTGCCAAATTGGTCTCCAAAGTTACTGTACCAATTGATAGTCCCACATTCTGTTTATAAGAACTCCCCTTTCTCCACATTCTCAATCATGAAATTTGTAATTTTTTACCAGTCTACGTGAATGTGAAATGGCTTCTCATTTGCATTTCTCTGACTGCTAATGAAGATACAGGTATAGATATGCCATCTGTTTTTTCTTATTCTGTCAGTTGCCTCTTTTATACCCATTTCTTTATGGAGTGTATATCTTTTTCTTATTTATTTGTAGACATTCTTTATATATTCTGAATGCTTATACTTTGTCTTTTAACTTTTTTTTTAAATTTTTTTTTTAATGTTTTATTTATTTCTAGGGGAGAGAGAGAGAGAGCGTGAGCAGGGGAGGGTCAGAGAGAGGGAGTCACAGACTCTGAAACAGGCTCCAGGCTCCGAGCTGTCAGCACAGAGCCAGACGCGGGGCTCGAACCCACGAACCGCGAGATCATGACCTAAGCGAAAGTCAGTCGTAAGCTTAACCGACTAAGCCACCCAGGCGCCCCCTTTTAACTTTGTTTATAGTTACTTTTGAGATGCAAAGTTCTGGGGTTTGGGGATGTGGTCACATGTGGTGACAATTCTTTTCCTTTCTATTTTATACTCTTTGTATCTTAATTGAGAAAACTCTCCCTAACCTGAGGTGAGATTTCTTTCTCCATATTTTCATCAGAAAGTTTAGTTTTTCATATTTAAGTGTCTAGTCTACCAGGAATTGATTTCTACACGTGATGGGAGATATCAGCCCAAGGGTTTTTCCCATATAATATCTGTATCAATTAGATTTGCTGTGTAATTAATCACCCTAAAACTCAGTGACTCAAAACCACCACCATTTATTTAATTTACAGTCTTGTGAGGCTGGCCTCAGCTGGGCTCCTTCATGTGCTGTGGTCAGTTGCTCGTCAGCAAGGTCGCTCCACGCCTGGAAGCTGACTGGTTATCCTCTGGAGCGCCAGGTACATTGCCTCCAAATCAGTTCCCTGTCATCATTCAACAGGTGTCTCTGGGCGGCTTCAGATGGTGGTAGCAGATTGCAAAAGGGGACAAACTCCATTGAGGAAGCCTTTGTGTATCACCGTTGCTAACATCCTATCAGCTAAAGCAAGTTATAGGGCCGAGTTCAGACTCTGAGTAAGATGGCATTAAGAGTTACATGATAATGGGGTGCCTAGGGGGCTCAGCCGGTTAAGCGTCCGACTTTGGCTCAGGTCATGATGTCATGGTTCGTGGGTTCAAGCTCCGCGTCGGGCTCTCTGCTGACAGCCAGCTCAAAGCCTAGAGCCTGCTTCAGATTCTGTATCTCCCTCTCTCTCTGACCCTCCCCTGCTCATGCTGCCTCTCTCTCTCTCAGAAATAAATAAAACATTTAAAAAATTTAAAAAAAAGAGTTACATGATAAGGAAACATGAATATGGAGAGAGGAATAATTGCTAGATTGCTAGCCATTTTTGTAGTCCGTTTCCCAAAATATCCATTTTCATTTATGTTATAGTTCACTCTTACCCCAATGATCCATAATGTCATCTCCGTCATATATCAAGGTTCCATATATATGTGGTCTGTCTCTGGACTCTGCTCTTTCTTATTTTCTGTATTTTTAAAGTAAGTCTTATGTTGATAGGGAAGTCCTTCTACTTTGTTCTTTTGAAACCACCTTGTCAATTGTAATTACTGTCCTGTTGCTGCTATAACAGATTACCACAAACTTGGTGGTTTAATACAACATAAATAATGCTGGTAGGACTGAATTCCTTTCTGGAGCCTTAAGAGAGAATCCTTTTAGCTTTTAGAGGCTTCCCACATTCTTGGCAATGTGAGCAGTGTCAGGCCAAGACCTGTCATGCTACCATCCCTCTGGCTCTCCCTCTTCTACTTCATTCATAAAGGCACTGGTGATTGCATTGAGCCTACCTGCATAATCCAGGATAATCTCTCTATTTTACAGTCAGCTCTTTAGCAACCTTTAAAATATATGTGGGTGTGGGTGTGGGTGTGTTATTTATTTATTTATTTTAGAGAGAGAGGGAGAAAGCACAAGCAGGGGAGAGAGGTGGAGGGAGAGAGAGAGAGAAAATCTTAAGCAGGCTTCACATTGGAGCCCAATGTGGGCTCAATCCCATGATGCTCAGGATCATGACCTGAGCTGAAATCAAGAGTTGGATGCTCAACCACCTGAGCCACCCAGGAAACTTTAGCATCTTTAGCAACTTTAATTCCCTTTTTGCCATGTAACCCAACGTACCTACAGGTTCTGGGTATTAGGATGTCTTTAAAGGGCCATTATTCAGATCTATTCATGGCCCTTTCCTCTTTCATACAAATTATAGAATCAGTTTATCACATTCCATGAAATACTTATTGGGATTTCAATTGGAACTATGTTGCATTTATAGGTTAATGTGGATAGAACAGTGTCTTTTTATTATTTGAGTCTTTTTGCCATAAGCATATCTTTTATTTTATTCTTCTTTAATGTCTTTCAATAAAAATATTTCATTATATTTATTATATTTATTCCTAAGTACCTAACTTTTTATTGATTTTTTTGCATTTTCTAGTTTTAAGGGGCCACTGTATTAGAATGCAATTAATTTTCATATGTTGGTCTTAAATGTGACTATTTTACTCTACTTTCTTATTAATTATAATAATTTGCTTATGGATTCTCTTGATTTCTTTGTAGATAATCATATCATCAGTGAAAATTTATTCTTTCCTTTCTTGTTCTTATATATTTTCTATTTCTTTTTCTTAGCTTAATGCATCACCTGAGACCTCCGGTACAATATACATAAGAAACAGTGATAAGTGCCATTTTCATTTCATTTAATCTGTTAATACAGTGAATTAAGTTGATATACTTTTTCATATTAAATGCTTTATCATTCTGGTGATAAAGTTTGGTCATGATGATGATTTTCTTCTTATACATTGCGTAATTCAGTTTTTTATTAATTTTATTTAGGCTTCCTACATTTGTGTTTAGGAGCCAGAGCCAACCATTATTTTCATTTCTTGAACTATCCTTATATAGCATGGGTATCAAGGTTATACCATCTTTTTAAAAAGTTTTGGAACAGTTTGTGTAAAATGTGTATGTGTAAATATCTTCATATAAAAAAGATACACTATGTGTCTTTTCCTTGAATGTTTGGGAGAATTCCCCTAAAAAGCAGACCAGGATTGGTGCTTCTGGGGAAGAGTCTTTGATAATTTAATTTTTCTTGGGTAATGAGTGTGCTTAGTTTTTTTCTTTTCTGGACTTAGTTTTGTTAAATTTTATTTTACTAGAAAGTTATGTATTTCATCCACGTATCCATTCAACATACATTTGTTCTAGAGCAACAGATAATTAGTTCTAAATCTTTGTTATGTTCCCTTTTAATTTTTTCTTTATGTTCATGTGCATGTTTGTTGCTTTTTTCCTTGATCAGTCTTGATGGAGATTTGTTTAATTTCATTAGTCTTTTCAGAGAATCAACTTTGTCCCCAGGTTCTTTGGAGAAATGGCTAGTTCTAGACCTGAGCCAAGAAATATGCAAGAGAAGCTTGGGACATAGTTAATGTCAGATTACAGAGAAGCTATTAGAAACTACTAGGGTAATATCAAGAGGAATCCATAGCTAACTTGATGGCCAATGATGGCCAATGATGCCATTGGCCAAGGATGGGATACTTTGACTTTCAATAATGATAATAATTGAGATGGAGAGAAACTCATAAAATATGTTCAAATATATGAGTTCATGATGCTATTTTAAAAGATTTTTAAAAGTTTTTAAGTAATCTCCTTACCCAACATGGGGCTCAAACTTATAACCCTGAAGTCAAGAGTGGCATGCTCCACCAGTTGAGCCACTCAAAAATGGTACTTTAAAAAATTGGTCAACTTCAGAGAATAATAGAGAACCAATTAATTATCTTGAAAACTGATTTTAAAAAGAATGGGAGAGAGCATCTAGCATTTATCCTGCCTTTTCTATATGCACTGTACCACTAGATAAGCAAATAGCAGATACAATAGTGTCTTTTTATAAAAAGTATTCCAATTAAAAACTAAAAGTAAGTGATAAATTAGAAAGCTAGCATTTTGCAATCCCCAGTGAACAGATAAAGGCATTAAGTATCAAAGTTTTGTGCTAAGATTATGAGAAGAGAGTTAGACACGTGTCTCATGAGGAAACTTACACTCCCACCCATAGCCCTGCCAAACAAATGGACACGGAGTCTGATCCAGTCTTGGATCCAGCTGCCAGTTTGCAAGAAATACCAAGGAAAGAGGAAAAGTTTGAACCTCACCATGCATCTGCGATAATACAACACATTCTGTTGGAAAATCTACAGGTCTAATGCCCAGGCTTCTTCAACAAGTTTGTTTTATGGAAATAAAAGGGACAGAAAGGAAATTCTAGATTAAAAGAGATTTAAAGGCTATATCAATGTTTTAGTTTTTTTTTAATTCACTTTTTTAGTAATCTCTACACCCAACATGGGGCTTGAACTCACAACCCTAAGATCAAGAGTTGCGTGCTGTTCTGACTGAGCCAGTCAGGCACCTCAATATATCAGCGTTTTTAAATTAGGAAGGCTAAACTATAATGCCTCAGGATTCCCACTGGGCGATAAAGCTTTTTTTTTTTTCTTTTGAAGGAAGTGATAAGCATAAAAGCCATGGTAGTAGTTACTTGGTCCCCTATGGGTAGAGTTGCCAGATTTAGGAAAACAAAACAGGACACCCAGGACTCCCAGTTAAATTTGAATTTCAGACAAGCAATGAATAATTTTTAGCATGAGTATGTCCCAATATACTTGTTTATTCAGAAGTCAAGCTTAACTCGGTTTCCTGTATTTTATCTGGCAAAAATCTTGATTTTATTCAAGATGGTAATGCAGCACTCTCCCAGCATTCCTTGTAGCTGGGGGCCAAAGCAATTTAAATGAAGTCAAGGGGCAAGGCTTTGGGGTGTTCTTCAGGCCTGCAGCCCAGTGGAATTGGGTATTGGAGTTGCACTGTTTTGCGGGGAGCCCACGTCTTGTACTGTGAATTTCACAAGTTCACAGGATGGTGAGAGGAAGCTGGAGGTGGGTATTTCCCCTTCAGGTCAGTCAGGCTCTGATAACACCTTAACTGGTTAGCTCATTTCTCTTGAGGGCAGTCCCCTGAACAACTGGCTGCCTTCTCCTTCTCCCTTCCAGAAGCAGGAGATTTTTTTCCCCCAGTGTCACTGGGACAACCTGGTAGGGCTCTTGGAGGCAAAACTCACAAGGGTGTGCGTACCCTGTCCCCAAGCCTGAGGTTTTTAACTCTTAGACTTATCTGCCCTGAGCCTCCAAATTTGTCCATTGTGCTTGAAGTTTTCCTGTGGTAGTACTGGCTCCCATGGATGTTTGTTTGCTTCTTTGTGTCCACCTGTCTGTCTCTCTAATTTTAGATGCAGCGGTTTGCCCTGTGACCTCAGTTCTCTGATATCATTAAGAAGAGTTGCTGGTTTTCAGATCGTTTAGGTTTTTACTCGTTAACAATAGGATGGCTACTTTCAAGCTTCTTATATGCCAGACTGTAAGCTGGAAGTCTCAGCCAGTTGTTTTCCCGTATGTTTTTCATTTATTAGAAAAACAAGGTAACATTTAAGAAAACCTTTTAAATCCCCATAAGATGACCTGCAGGGTTTTCATTAACGCACATTCTTTTCCAGTCTTTGTTTACATGTATGCAAGTTTTACTTAGCTATTATCATTGTAAATATAGAAAGATTTTTATTATATATTTATTTAGCACATCTTAAATATAGTCCATCATCAGAGTCGTCATAACTGTTTTTTCAGTGTTTGCTTAATATTTCACCTGATTTATATACATTAATTTTCATACTGTTGTTCATATTGAATACTGTTCGTTTCCAACTTTTACCTGCTGGGAGTTATTTGTCAATTTTAACTGGCTTTTACTTCTTGA